AACGTCCCCGCGGGAGTTACCCTTCTTGCGGCGATCCGTGGATAACCTCGAGGGTTTTATCCCACGACGGAAACGAGGATCGCGAGACGAATTTCAGAAAAGCCTCGGGTCGATTTCGAACGGGGGGATAGAGAATGACCGTCGTAAATGTTCTCGAAGGGGGCGAACGTTGTGTTATCGGATTCGATAGCGAGATTTTTGCGAAACGGTCAATACATTGGTTATATCACGTTGTTCCTATTCTGTATTAAAGGGAAAGATAGACGCGGAACTTTGAATCAGCCAGTAGATTACACGAATACAAGGTAAACTTTCCCAAATCGTACCCATTAAGAGCAAATGGCCCCTACGTGAAAAGTAACAGTGAAAATTAAACAAAATTAGTAGTAATCGACTATTTATTAATAGAATAAACAGTTTAATAAACTCACACAAAAAGATATGATCCCGAAAACGGACCCTCGCTGGGACAATAATCTTATAAGGAGAAATGCTTCAAACCCTCGTAAATTCGTTTTTTCCTCAACAAAAGCCCCCGTGGTGGGAATAACGCCTGGACAATAATCGTGTAGGACAAGCCAGACGATATTTAATCTGGAAAAAGTACGATTTAGAACTAATACCTCTAAATCAATGATTCCCAAAGTGTTGAGTCGCGACCCCCTCGGGGTTCGCAAGAATAGCTGCGATGGATCATGAGGGTTTACAAAATAAAACAAAAAAATCCGTATTAATGTACATTTATTTGGTATTTACACTAGAAAATTAACGTGAATTGCGACCCTCTTGAAGGTCGCAAGTAAAAGTCTCGTCCAAAAATATTCGAGGCTCTGCATAATTTCTCGCCACGAGCGCGAGCAACAGGCCGCCGGAGACTGTCCCGATCAAAGTGTCGGCAGTAGTGTCTGTCTGTCTGGTTTACATTAGAACTACATAGATCGTAAGCCGCCGGACAGAAAAGGTAAGCGACGCGTGCCACTTATAACATCGTGTTATCGCTCGAAAACCAGGCCTAGGAGGCCAGATACCAGATTCACAAGCAGCTGAGAACAGAACCAAATAGATATGAAACCAGGTTACTTCATCGCGCATCAACTCCCCCTGTCTCAGATCATCGACGGAGAATAGAACGGCCGTGATAACCAGTTGTGTAAAAAGTGACTTAGGAAGGACCTTCTGCTATTTGGTATCGAGAATTATTGAGATATATGTCAAATTAACACTCAATTTAACATTTATTTTAATACTTGAAATCAATTTACCAAGTGGTAGAACGCTCTTCTTTTACGCCACTTTTTCCCCCTAGCGGAAACCGAGTTTGCTCGCGAAGGTAAAAAGAGCAAATTGACAGCAATAAATTTTTGAATTTCTCTAAAAAAACCATAGTCACCTGTTTCCGTATTTGACTTAGGTTTAACAGGAAACACCAGCTGACAAAATAGTGAAGCGAATTGGCAGAAAGTCTTGCAACATAACCTATAAGAAATTTAGAGCAAAACCGGAACAAGGTTTGCGCAAGCCAATCTGCTGCATATGTTGATGCCAATTTGCTGCCAACAAAATCTTGCATCCAAAATTGTAGCCATAACCTTATACCGGGCATTGGACAAAATTTGCCATTGCAGGTTTGGCCGAGTGAAAGGGAAACAGATAAGAGAGGGGATGGTTCGCTCGTAAAAATTTCGTCGAAATAACGAACGGAAGGGCTTGGAAAGATCCGACGATAGTAATCCTCGGGAATCGGGTTGGTATCTCGAGAGATCGGTCGAGGAAGAACACCCCTAGATGACCACCGCACGAATCTCGCGCCATTAGTCGTCGGTCGAGCGAGTGGAACGATGGTGTGGCGGCTATTCGCCAGTGAAAAAAGCAAGGTGAACAGAGAGACGAAGAAACGATGCTGGCGTGAACGAGCGCGCGGATGAACGGATCAGCGAGGACGGACGGGTATGGCCGCCCATCGTGCGTGGGACACCGCGTAAAAATGAGTTGTGTCAACGTGCGGCTCGAGGGCCCCCCCCCCGCGTGGTCGCCACCAGGTGGTCAGCTTGTTTTATAATACCGTGCCCTCTTGGTATATACGGGCTTCTAGGGCGACCGTTCGGTTTACACGCGGTCTTCGAACAACCGAATCTTATTCGTCGCACTCGATCCGTCCCCGAGAACATATCGCTGTTCCCCATCGAGGATCGAGATTGCTTGGGAGACGCATTAAAGGGATTTCGAAAAATGACGAATCTTCGTTTAGAACAGGGTTTCCCAAACTTTTTCTATAATGGAACACTTCGCAAAACCGGAAATTTTAACGGAACACTTAGCTTATTTTTTAGGTTTTGGTAATTCCTACTTGTAAAACAAAATGTTATTAAAACACATTATTTATTTAGTAATTATTTTTAAATATAAGACTATAATATAAAAATAACTTACTTAATGACTTTGATAATAAAACCTTTCGAAATTGTCGCGGAACACCTATGCAGGTTCAGCGGAACACAGTTTGGGAAAGCCTGGTTTAGAAGAATACCTACTTTCTTCGGATCTTTGTTTAAACAGCACTTTCAAGTATGGAAATAATATCGTCTCGATAGGTATGTACATAGAATCGAACTTTGTAATTATCGCAGTGTTTATACGAAAAATATATTACGCGACGTGTACCTAGTAGTAACGATTACAGTAAATCCTCCATGAGTGTTCGAGGGCACTGACAAGGAGAGATCCCCAAGTGCTAATATTTTAATAAATTTACCACAGTGATATATCTTCGAATTTGGAAACCAATGATATTTGTTTCAACCACTTATAACCATTAGTTTATGAAATATTTAACGTTAAATGCCTAGGTGCCTTCGAACACTCATCGAGAGTTTCCTGCACCTTTAGATTGAATCGAACCACGCGACGAAGGCATGGTCCCTTACAAGAACAATTTTTAATCTCTCCACGGAAGATCGTCCGTTTTGATGTCCCGAAGAAAAAAAAAAGAAGTAAGTAATTGCGTCCAGTAATCGAATCGCGTTCAAGGCAAAAGTGGCGAGAGAGAGAGAGAGAGAGAGCGTAACTCCTGGACACACCCGATCCGCGAGTTCCGTTTCACGTGGATGCAAGAATCGATTCGAGATGATTAGCGATAATGTCAAGGGGATCCCGGAGGCACGTCCGTGATGAGTCCGTGACTGGCGTACCCTTCTATGTCGGCGTGGTTAACTCGCTCCAGTACGTAACCACGAATCCACCTAATTGAAGTAACCACAAGGCGCAACGCGGCACGTTATACGGCAATGCAATCGAGGAAACGAAACCCCGGCCGAGAGTCGGTAGGGGAAGGGAGGTGGAAGAAGAGGGGGAAAATGGAGAGACCGACAGTGGGAACAGAGCAGAGGACAGGGGCTGACGAAAGAAAAAGAAAACGGGAAAAGAATAATCGAAGAGGGAAAGGAGCGTACGTACCTCACCAGTGAGCAAACTACGTCTACGTTTTATACCGTTGGACCCCCGTCGCAACGACTGCCTCCTGTTTCTGTCTCTCGGCACCCTGCACTTTCGTTCGCACGTGCCGATTCGAGCAGAGAATACCGACCGTATCGAGTTCCGTGCACTTACAGAGAACCCCCATTACATTCTACACGCGAACGAAAACAATGAACGGGAAGGGAGAGAGGAGAGGGCGAGAAAACCGAAGCTATTTCAACTGATCCTCCTTTATGCATAGTATAAATATATTTATATGTGAATATTTCGTTATATGGTTTGTGTCTACATAGATTGTGACACGTACAATGATACTAAATGCCACCCACGATCGACCGGATACAAAGTAGTCCAAGACGATCGTTGGTTCTCTTCCGTGATACCTCGTGATCGCCTTTTCGCGAGCAATGACGACTTAAACCACCGACAAGCGAAGGCGTTCGATCGTGCCACAGACTGTTGTGTCTTTCCAAAAGTTTCTCTGCTCGTGTGTGTGTGTGTGTGTGTGTGTATCCAGTCTACGTAATAGCTTACATAAGTTTGTGGGAAAACATTAGGCGGTGAATGGTAGATTAACAAATCATACGATGGTCGCTTAATAAATAATACGTGAACTTTATATCGACCAAGTACTTCTCTGTTTCTTTAGACTTTAGACTGTTTCTATTAAACTCCCAACAATTGTTCCTTTTTTTTTTTTTCTTCTTCATCTTCCGCGGTTAACACCGCCCATACCGCCAATGATTTCTGATCGTTCAAATCTTACAAAATATAAATGCGTATTATTCGTACCCTCTTTCTCTGTCGGTATTAATTAATTCGCGTCGATGCGTATCGATGTGGCAGACGTTGATATGTACAAAATCCGATGTTCAAAGGTCCTTTGAAACCAACACGTGGTCTATGAGAAACATTTCCGCGCGATCTAGCTGCCATCTAGAATTTCGGAATCAAACTGCTAGAGCAGAGTTGAAAATACTTGCAACATTATCTGTATATATATATAATGAGATAGCAGTAACTTTTTCATTTAGCTCGTTATATGCAATCTAAGATACACGTACCTAAACAATGTATCTATGATATATATATATAAAGTATGTCTATACATTAATTGCAAAATCTCTAATACTGGTCTCGATAGAAACAGGCAATTTAATCCAGTATGCTGAAAAGGAACACTTTGATTGTTTTCCCCGTATCTTGGAAACTTTGATTTCTGACAGACTCAACGTATGCCTTATATCCCGATTCGTTTCGTTCGCGAGTCACGTGAAACGTGGGAAACGCTATTAATCGATAGCACCAATCATTGTAATAAAAGTGTCAATGGAATTCCGTACGATACAGATCTTTCGAAGAAAATTTATAAATGTAGTAACGCTTTTGATACGCACAATTTCCGAAGCAAAGTTTACAAAATTAGAAAACTTTTGTGCAGTATAGTTCGAGAAATATGTTTGACCGTGTCGAAGAAAACTTCGCGAAGCCAATCAAAATTTCAAGCTAAAATTTTACGCTGCGTGGAATGTGATCGCGATTTCAACGTGGCAATATACAAGTAAGTCGATTGGAATTGTCGCGTTCATACCTAGCGGCTGTTTGCTCCTCGTTTCGACAATTAATGTTTCTTTTTCAAAAAGGAACCATGTAAGCACAGTTTCAATTTTCTAACGGTGCTTCATACTACGTGTTAGACTCGCCGCTTGCTATTTTTACGCATAACTCTGTTTCCCTTTCGGACATGCATAGCATCGTAAGCAAATATCCTTTTTACAAGATAACACACTTCCTTTTCTTCACTGGTTCCGGAGGTTCAAGTGCAGCCAAGATAGCTTCGTCAAACACGTTCTTCAAGCCCTTCTGTAAAATTAAAATCGCTGTAAACTTATAAAAAAAAACCACAAACTGTATGAAACTGACACGCATCGCCACTCATAGCGCATTTACCTGTGTAAGAGCACTGCATTCCACGTATTTCACAGCTTTCAACTCTTTGGCAAGCTTTTCTCCTTGCTCCGCCGATATCGGTTTTTGCTTATTCTTTGCCAATTTTTCAGTAGTAGCGACGTCGTCTCTCAAATCAATCTGGGTACCAACTAGCAGAAACGGAGTCCTCTGACAATGATGTGTTATTTCGGGTACCCACTAAAACAAAATACGCGTATGACACAAACTATTTGATCTCGCTTTTTGCTAGTCTAACTATTACATCCTAAAAATAAATACTACGAATAAGATTCAACCTTTTCTTTAACATTCTCAAACGACGAAGGAGACACTACAGAAAAACAGACTAGAAATACATCTGTTTGTGGGTAACTTAATGGCCGCAGTCTATCATAATCTTCCTGACCTATGACAAAACAAAAAATTAATATCTTCCTCTTACGACACAAAGTAAAATATTAAATGTGAAATTAAAGGAATCATTACCAGCAGTGTCGAATAATCCCAAGGTATATGGATCTCCACCTATCATTACTGTGACAGCATAATTGTCAAAAACTGTCGGTACATACTCTGATGGAAACTTATTGGTTGTATAGGAAATCAAGAGACATGTTTTACCCACGGCTCCATCACCTACTACAACACACTTTATTGTCTGCATATTGATAATTTCTATAGTACCTACAGCAACTGTAACAAATACATACATTTTAAATCACTGTAACCAAATGGGTAAAAGGTTAATCGCACTACCAGTTTCTCATTGAAATGTGTACAATATGTAAGCATGCTCTGATAAGAACAAGCAACAAAGGCAAGATTACTTAAATACATTAGTATTCTGCTGACAATGCAAATAATATTACACACTTCTGAAACTTTCACTTTATGCAAAAATGAGAAGTAAATAATGTTTCTCTCGTGAATCATGTGTGAGCTTACTACGCCCTTAACCTACAACTACATACCTAATTCTTTCGTCTTAACCGATTAAAGCATTTGAAATTCCTTTTTACCTCTTACAGAATTGAGTGTTTCGTAATATTTATCACGTTAATTCACAATTGGAGAACTAATTCTTATTTTTGAAACGAGAGAGTATTAACATACATCTAACAAGAAAATATGTAATATGATTACCTACAACCGTCCAACTGTCACTAAAGGGTAAAATTGTATCTCATAATCTTAAAACACATAGACTGAATGGTTTCAGATATTTCGAAACAAAACAAAAAACAATGTAAATAACATCTAACAATCCGGATCTATCAATCTCAGTATATACTATATACCTTACTACACATTTAACTTGAAATATACATTTCCCCCATACACTGATTCACTATGCAATACCCACAGTAGTAAATGAAACGAGAGTGCTCACGCTCGGGAATTTGTTGTTTCCGGGCAAGGCTGCACCAAGCGGCCAATTCTGGCATAAAGTAGGACCCGTGATGTGTGAAAAAGTGGGGTCATAGAACCCCCGGAGCATACGTAAAAGACCCCGTGTGTGAAACACAGCCGAGATATAAGAATAAACCTGACATGCAATGTAATTTTCTGTCCCATGCTTCGAGGGCGTCAGAAGCCCCCTTACAATTTTAATGTCAATACCCGACGTTACCGATAAAGCATGAATTCTGAGTATTATTAGCACAAATGAAGTGTCATATATATTCCATTCATATTGCGTGTATCTACATGATTTCACGGGAATAAAAATATCCGATGCTTCAATTTAAGGTTAAGGAATAAATATGACAGTCATGAAACATGAAACGGAAAAGTATATATTTTTTCACTTAACTACAAGACAATTTATTCTAATTGCATCGTTAATGGACATTTTATTAATGTTACTTTTTACATGTTCTTGTTTTATTCGTTTTTATATCTTGCCTTAAATTTGTATATTTGTAACAGATAAATTCAGAATAGATGTAGCTTCATAAATAGTCTATCGAATCTACCTTTTGGTCGGTGGCTTACAATTTGTAAGCCAAATTTTTTTGAATGCCTTACCGTAAGAGCCATCTCGCAGCTTCCGGGAATCGGGTGACGTCACGGCGTGCGAGCGAGAGCGGTAGAGCGAGCCACGGTATCGGTGCTCTCCGTCGGTGTTGACGGGTGCCGAGGAATTTCGGTGGTCTATGGGAGGGAGGTGTGCGAGCGAGAGAGTACGGTAGAGCGTGCCGAGTATCGGTGCTCTCTGTCGATCCAACGCGCTAGTGAGTTGCGTCACCCAGTTTATTGACTTAGCCGTGTACGCCGTGTCCCAAGGTCGTACCATCCCGTGCAGGTCTGTGCTTGCTTCCTCACTTTGTCGTGAACCGTCGCGGAGGGTGGTCGCGCGTCTCATAGTCGTTCTTTCTCTTGTTACTAATCCATTGTTTGTTGCAGGCATTCGATAACCATCAATTTATTTACTGTGCATATTGTTGTGTCCCCTCTCTTGTTACTAATCCCTTATATGTTACAGATGTTCGAGAACCATTGGCTTCGATATTTATCTTCTTATGTACTGTGATTCATTTAATGTGATTTATTTACTGTGCATATTATTTATTTATTTACTGTGCATGTTACTAATCTATATACTGTGCATATTGTTGTGTCCCCTCTCTTGTTACTAATTCCTTGTATGTTACAGATGTTCGAGAACCATTGGCTTCGATATTTATTTTCTTATTTACTGTGATTTATTTACTGTGCATATTATGTATTCTATGTGTATTGTATAATGAAAAATATTTTTCCAAACAGTTATTCCATCGAAAGAAGACATCGATCAACGTCTACATCTTCAAAGCGTGCGTCTACCACTGCGTTAAGTTACTGTAAGTTAAACTTAAATCATAATTCGATATTCATTGTTATATTCATATTCATCATCACATCGTTTATTATTAATTTTAGTCTATCTATTAATAGACTTAAATTGTGATCAGCCATTGTGCATACCAAGTTATTATTAATTCATTTTGCTCGTTGATTTCTCTACACAGACTTGGGGTATGGGCAGTGGGTCTGTACCTATTATGGTACGGGCAGTGGGCCTGTGCACTAAGACTGTTTGCCGATCCCTCTGGTTTCTATTGAGAAGCCAGATATCGGACGTGTTTAGTCTTTGCCTGGTAAGTAGGATTTGGAGTAAAGGCTCGTGCGCGCCTGGGTACAACGTACCCGCCTACGGAGTAGACGGGAGTCTGCTCCGTAAAAGGACTCTGTTTTACAGGGGATCTCGCTTGCACTACCATACTTGGTCATGACCTGTGCTCGGGTCTGGTACGTAGGTGACCAGCCCAAAGGGCCTGGAAAGTGAGAGATGGATTCGGGTTTGCGAGGTTGCGCCCGTCTTTCCTATTTTCTTAAACCAGGTTCTGGCGACAACACTTTCATCGCGATACTTGTTCATACTGTAGTTTAACGTGGTTCATCGTAGAATTAATTTTTGGCTTGGTATATTAGGTGCGTAAACGAAATGATCGATGGAACTTTTTCCATTCCGTCTATCTCTTTCGTTTGAGTATTAGCGACTACATTGCGTTAAATTTGTTATTTCGTATTACTAGCATTAATTCGTATTAATTAGAATATTAAGATAATATTAGTTCTAAGCTGAAGAACGAAGACAACCGACGAGGGAACTTAGTTTTTTATAGGTTTAGGCTCAAGAAAGAAGTCATCCGCCGAGGGATTTTAGTATCGGTAGTATTATATAGTTAAGATTTAAGTAATTTATAAGGTTTATTGTGAAAGGTGGGTAGATGTAGAACTTGTGATTCCATCTACTTGCCTTGGGCCTCCACTCGCAGCAACCTCCTCGTGGTGAGGCCTGGGCAATCCGTATTCTCATCGGTAAAGTATTGTAAACTGATGACAATATCGAGCTAATGGCTGCGAACGTCGAATCCATCTCATAAAACCACGTTCTATATTACATCGAAATAGGATTATTTTAGAAATCGATATGAGATTCAGTGTTCTAAAAATGTCTAGTACTTTGAATGTTATAGAAAATTATTTAGTGGATCTTGTAATGAAGCTTTATAAATGAATAACTTGTATTTTATCATAAATTGTTAAACAACAACCCCGTCTTAGTATTTATGAGAAATATGAAATCTTAATTATTTTATTCAAAAGATTTTAATTACGTTTTGTGCGTAAGTTCAGGACAGAACTGCCCTAGACGTGTGACGCGAGAAGATTTTAGAAATTTGTATTTTCATAAACGAAGTTAGAAACTAGTACTTGTGAGAACGGGAATTATTTTTCTTCGTCACACATTAAATTCGAAGTTTAAAGAACGTAGAATAATACTCTCTAACGGCTGGAAACCAGTAATTACAAGAACATTGTTAAAATCGCATTTGTTTGCAACGGTTGACACTGTATCTCGTCATGCGTACTCCGTTTAATTCACTTTACTATCTTCTACACTTTACTACTTCACTACTCATCTACACTTTCGTCTAAATAAAACATTCGATTTGAAGCTGAAAAAACGTAGATTAATCTCCTGTCATTGATAATAACAATAAACGACCAGAACACTGTTAAAATCGCATTTAATTGCGGAATACCACTATTTTTCGACCGGTGGCGCCATCCGTGGCGAATCGCTGAAACTACTAGCCAATTATATGGGTAGCTGTTTCAGCGATTAGCCACGGGTGGCGCCACCAGTCCAAAAATAATGGTTCTCCGCGATTAAATGCGATTTTAACAGTGTTCTGGACGTTTATTGTTATTTTCAATGACAGGAGATTAATCTACGTTCTTTCGGCTACACATTGATTGCTTCAGCTAAACCAAGGCTATCCGTATAATGGTGTACGAGCTGTCCAAAGTGAACTAACCGGGGTACGCATGACGAGATATACTGTCAACCTTTGCAAATAAATTGCGATTTTAACAGTGTTCCGGTCGTTTATTGTTATTGCCACTGACAGGAGAATAATCTACGTTTTTTCAGCTTCAAACTGAATGCTTGATCAAGACGTAACTTGTCCATAGAACGTTGGAAGAGCTATTTAAAGTGAACTAAACGGGGTACGCATGACGAGATACAGTGTCAACCGTTGCAAATAAATGCGATTTTAACAATGTTCTTGTAATTACTGGTTCCCAGCCGTTAGATAGTATTATTCTACATTCTTCAAAATTCGAATTTAATGCGTGACGATGAAAAATGATGTCCGTTCAGCGGTGTAAATGTAATCAAAACTTTTGCAATTGGGGTTGCCGCCCCATAAGGGGCTACGGTAATAGGGCATAACTAATTTTACTAATTCAGAGGTTCTGCACTATTGGGTCCATGCATTAAGTCCTGAGGGACAAGTTGAGACTAATGACGTTCATTTTAAGCGCTTAATTACTGAGATATTTGCATTTTTCCATCACTAGAAATTTTGATTCACCTGTCGATATAATTTGGCTAGCAGTTTGAAAGAATTGCCACGGGTGGCGCCACCGGTCGAAAAAATAATGGTATTCCACAATTAAATGCAATTTTGACAGTGTTCTGGTTGTTTATTATTATTTTCAATGGCAGGAGATTAATCTACGTTCTTTCAGCTTCAAACTGAATGCTTGGTCAACACGCGAGCTGTCAGCATAACGTTGGAAAAGTAATCCAATGTGAACTAACCGGGGTAGAACCCCCGTTGGAGACGCCAGAGACCCTGTGTGCTGAGAGCGTGGGGTCATGGAACCCCCGGTGGAGGCGCCAGTGTCCCCGTGTGGTACGCACGTGGGGTCACAGAACCCCCGCAGGGGCCACCAGACACCCCGTTGACGTTAGCGTGGGGTCATAGAACCCTCGGAGGAGATTTGTAGCTGGTAGTGCTACGTACATAAGAAATGGAATGAACATGTAGGCTACTTAGGAATGCATAAGAGTGAGTTTCAGCTGGATTAATGGACACCGACCAAGTCCATATCAACACATCTCGATTAAATTCAGAGAGATATACTTTATTGCTGTACGATGTGTTCTGAAATTGTTCACGTCCGACGCGACCGTTGCGAACAGGTCGCCGTTCAGGACGAGCCGCGCGAACGTAGCAACGATTGAAGGCCCCGCGAATCGTGTTGACACTTCAAGTCGCAGCAAGCGTGTTTTTCGCGTGAATAATCAACGAAAGAGGACTCATTCGGAGAAAGCGCTCAACCTGTCTACGATGACAGGTCGGATACGACTGACGATCGTCCATCGTAAAGCGCACAATACATGGGCCTGGTAAATGCCGATTACAACTGGGGCTCTGTAAAAGCACTGTACTTCACCGTGTTCTCCATGAATCTGGCCGGTCTGGTCGCCTTCGTGTTGGCCATTGTCTGGGCCGTGAGGTTCGAGAGGGGTTTCGGAGATTATCTGAACCTTGTCGCTCCAGGTTAGCCGTTAAAACGTTCCTTCGACGATCTTCTATCCCCGTCCTCGGGCACGTCAAACGATTTAGAGTGATGGATGACCCGTTAAACCAATCATGGTTGAACTGACCCTAACCTTTTTGCCCCCAAAATAATGTCCTAAACGTCGCAACTAAGGAGAGAACGGTCGGGGAAAGTACTCGGTAATCTTAACCGTGGGTTTCTGCAGTTGACGCGAGTCATGACATTTCACTTGATTCAACGATCCACAGAATTTCGTGGTCTGCAATCTGACGCAACTTACATTGTGTTTTGCGCATGCTATACATAGACGAGAATGGGAAAGTATTGAAACGATTTATTCGATTGATATATATTGATCGAACTATTACGAACACAAGGGCACACGAGGAATATTCCTGGAACCTATCATCACGTACGCGACAGACTTAAAATTCCGTCAAGCGTTGTTTCGGGAACGATGGATATGAGCAGGGATATTACGTCCAAACAGAACGTGTCTCAGTATTATCTATGACGCTCGTGTTAATGTCCCTGAAATCGATATAAAGCTTGCTTTGAATTTCGAGTATTCTATTACGATTGCATCAGGGTAGTCCCACGTTATATCCTCATGAGCAAACTCTGCTTTCGCTAGGGGAAAAAATGGCGTTGGACAAGGGCCTCCTAAAATTTGGTATCGGGAATTATTGAAATTCATGCCAAATTAACATTCGATTTAACATTTATTTCAGTACTTGAAATAAATTTACCAAGTGGTAGGATGCCTTTCTCTTACGCCGCTTGTTCCCCTAGTGGAATCCGAGTTTGCTCGTGAGTGTACTTAGAGCGAAACGATTATTCCAACGGATTATTCCCAACAGTGGAATATGTCCCTACGAATAATCGTAAAAAAAATACTCGTAGCTTAACGAACAAATCCACGACTTGCAGGTGACGGTCACGTGTGGGCCACGGTGATCGTGTCGGCGGCTATAGTCTGCTCCCCCGCCTACATTCTGGGAATGAAATCCTGCCTGTACCTGAAACTGGAAACGAGTAGAGTCGAGCTGGACGATCAGCAGAAGGTCGACGACAGCGTGGATCCACGGGACGCGAATCGTCTTCTATTCCTCCACGTGATCATCTGTTTGTTGTCCGGATTTCTGGTGGCGGTGTTGAACGCCACCTACCTGGCGCTGTTGAGCGGTTTCCAGCAGAAGAGCCGGGACGGCCTGACGGAGGCGATACAGAAATACGGCAGCGACGTGACGGTGAAGTCCCGAATGGACGCGGTACAGGCCGAGTTCGAGTGCTGCGGGAACAACGGCTACGATGATTGGTTCCGCGTGCCGTGGCTGAGATTATCGATTGACGAGGGGGGAACGGAGGACGCGGAGAAGGGACCTCGACTGGAAGAGCAGTGGGTATAATCGAACCAATTACCGTTCAATCGTGACCCCGTTTCCATTTTCGTTTCACGCGTGGACAATTGTACCCTCACGAGTAAACTCGGCTTCCACTAGGGGAAGAAATGACGTAGAAGGGTCTCCCAGCACTTACTAAATTTATTTCAAGTACAGAAATAAATGTTAAACCGAATATTAATTTGGCATAAATTTCAGTAACTCCCAAAACTGAATGGTAGGAGGCCCTTCGGGAACCTCATTTTTTCCCCTAGCGGAAGCCGAGTTTGTCAGTGTACTCGAGAATGTCTACACCTTTAATCCTTCGACGTTTTATGTATAATACTGCACATCATTTTTCCTTGGCCCTTAAAGTTACCACGACGCTGGAAGACTCGGAAGATCGGAATATACACCTAACTGCCCTTGATTGTTCGTTAAAGATCGGTCCCGGAGGAACAGGACGCGGAACAATCTACGTTTGCGGACGTGCCTTTTTCCTGTTGCTCCAACGACATACCGAAACCTTGCGTCCACCATGATATCCTTAGCCCGAGCGCCGCCTACGATTACGATCCTAAACGTCTCACGATCGCCACCATTGGCTGTCGATCCAAGATTGTAGATCGAGCCGAGACCATCAGGATATTTCTGTCGGGATACTTGGTCCTTTTATCCGTTTATCAGGTACTTATACGCGATCGTAAAGAGATTCGTATTGACGTTCACTGGCAACACGATTCGTTTCTCTCCCGACAGGTGGTGCTAGCGTTCCTGGCTCGTTTACTCCAAACTGCACACGGCAACGAATTGTACATAGGACCTAGAAAGACTCTGTACCACGTCTGGATACTCTTTGGGCCGGAGAACGCAACTGCAGACCCGATCCCGAAACGAAAAAGGAACGAGGAAGTCGGACCCCGAAAACGAAGCAAAGCCACTATTCGGAGGCGACTACCCTCCTCCTCTTTTTCTTCTTCGTCCTCAACCGTTGAAAGCTCGGACGGATTAGAAGAGATTGGCGTCGCGAGGAAACGTGACAAAGGGAAAAGGAACACTGGAAATATGTTAAACAAAATCCGTTCGAAGCTCTCCTCCGTCAAGTCGAAAAGCCTACCCTATGTTCTCAAATCGTCGACGTCCAAAAGGCTTCGAGTTCGTCAACGAGACGTCACACGATCGGAGGATAAAGCCGTAGGGTTCGTGGACAGGGTTGACACGGTAGATGAAGAAACGAACGCGTACAGGAAACTTCTTTCGCACCATATAACAAAGTCCGAAGTCGTTCAGAGAGATCAGTATCGCGATACGGAACAAACTTCCTCTCCAGAGGATTCCTCGATGATACTAGATCTACCAGCTCCGCCATCTCCTCCCCTGTTTCTCGTGAAATTCGCCGTAGAAAAAGAGGACACGGGAGTACCTGTAACAAAAGTGACAAACACGGACAAAACGTTCGTCGAGAGGATAATCGGTAACCTGAACTCGGGTAGACGTAGAAAGGTACTCGAGAAATTTGGAACAATCGAGAAAAAGAGCAACGAAACGCGACACAGGGAGTGTGGAGGGGCGGATAACAGCGGATCTAGCAGCGATCACGCGTCGGGCTCGATTCGTTACAAGAAACCGATTCCTACGAGATCGAATGCCGACGACGTCTACGACAGATTTCGCGGCAGCCTTCAGCACACCCTCGCCAGACGGGAAGCGGCCGCTCAGGCGCGAAGAGGATCCAAAAGAATCTACGCAAAAGTGCCAGACACGACGAGAAGGAACAGCCTACTGGCTAGGCTTGGCTGCAAAAATGTCCCACCCTCTTACCGTTTGCTCGCTAACGTCGAGGATCAGAAACGACCCACGTCTACAGTACATACCCTACCGCCTGCTCCTCCACCTCTTCCTCCACCTCCAATTCCATCGAATCCAGCCCCAGTCTGTCGACAACAACAATGCAGTATTTGCCATCGTCCTGTTCAGCAAAGCCCAGCCTCTTCTCGCGGCTCTCCCGTCGAGGATGTTCGACTATTCACCACAGCGCCACCCAGAACAACGCAGCGACCCCAGAGAACAGTTTCTCGAGGTAGAGGCAGCGTTCGGCAAGGAATCACGTGTCCCCGGATCGATCCACCGCCGTTTCGAGATCGTTCCAACATCCACGGCGGCGCTGCTGTTTGCGACAGGTTCCCGTGGAAGCGTCCGTGCAGCTAACACACTTAAACCTCCCCCCGGAACCCCAGTAACGCGTGTAAAAACTGTACATATAAGTAGAGAGAATGTTTTTTTTTTTTCTCATAAGAGGCACGCCGAAGAATTCGTGTTTCGCGCGCGGGCGGCACTGACAAGAAGTCGAGAACGCATCATCGTCATCCACAGGCCCCCTTGTACAATACTTGATGGTTTATTTTTTGCCGAGAAGTAAAATACACAGGCATTTGTTTACAATGGTACTCGCCGAAGATAAAACTTGCTTTACGTCTCTGTAATACATCTAGCGACAATACATCGGTACTAAAAAGAGAGAAGCTGATATTTTTCTTCGTTACGATCATGGTTCTCCGTTTTCACCCAATTTTACTTTACAAACGGTTTTTCAAACATAATTACCCCATCGCTGTGTCTCTATCTCTCGCTGCTTCTTTATTATTTTTGTCTCTACTTGTCGAGTTTAGTTTACAATGTCCGCGCGAGGAGTTCTCGCCCTAAATCCGTTCCGTCTCGAGAATACAACCAGAAGTGTGGACCAGGAAGGGGGGTTACGCGTCCCGAACAGATCACTGGAACCACGTTTCGTCCTCCCCCCATGGTCGTCGCGCACCTTGCACTTCTGCACGGTGGTCCCAATTGCGGTGAATCGTCAGCGAGGCGATCCTCCTCTACCATGGGCGTAGCCAGGAGTGCAGGAGGGACACTTGATCCCTCCTTTAAGGGAAGAAGGTGGCCTTTGCCCTACTCTAGAGAAAAAATAAAATTCTGCTACCTCCTTGGAGGAAAACAGATGGTCTTTGCCCTACTTTAAAGGATAAAAATTGTAATTCTGCTTCCTTCTTCGAAGAAAAAAGGTGGACCCTGCCTTACTTTAGAGGAGAAAAAATTGAATTTTGCTCTCTCCTTCGAGGGAAAAAAATGGCCTTTGCCCTATTCTAGAGAAAAAATTGAATTTTGTTCCCCCATAGAGGAGTAAAATAATATTATGAAATTTATCTTAAGATCAATTTTGCTCGCCCCTTGACCTGGCTACCTCCATATCCTCTACTATACCATTTTACATCGCCAATGTCCTAATCACGGACACACGCCGGTCTGCACGCGATTCTCAGGGTTCTAAATCGCTTCCACAGAGAGGCAGTCGAAGGCGACGACCTCGTCCTTTCTGGCTCGAGAGAAATTGCACGCGACCGCGAGTCGACCTTCAACCCCTATTAACGAAAATGATAGCTTGCATATCTCTGCAAAACCTCTATTTTTCTCGAAAACACTCGAGAATCCCGTCCCGTGCGACTTTTCCCGAGCTTCTTTTTTTGTTTTGTTTTTTTCTACGCTTCGAGAAAACTCCTCGGCTTCACCACATTCGCGTTCCTCTCATTCGTTCACACTGGGACAATATACTCTCGTTTCCGCGTCCTCTATCGATCTATCCACCGCCTACGCGTTCTCTAACTACTTACAATTGTATCTCTGCCTGTCGTCTATACAATATCTGAATAGGTATTTAAAAGGTCGCGTACCACATAGACCCGGTTGGAGGTTCGATATGAGTTACTCGTTCAAGATACGAGGTATATATATATAACCTTTTTAAAATAAGTATATATTATATATGTTTATATACATATATATATGTATACTTATTCATCGAATAGGCGGTGATAAATAGTAACGACGAAGTAACAATACAATATTGCTCGATCCCGTATCATATAATATATATATATATAATAATAATATAACGATATTATTCGCTTGCGAATAAAGTAGCCTTTTCGCCACCCATTTTCTCTCTCTCTCTCTCTCTCTCTCGCACTTTCACACTCTTTTTTTTGTTATTTCTTAAAGAGCTACTTAAGAAAAGGGCTCAATCGCGCTCGTTCCGTTCATGTACACATGTGTCTCTGTTTGTCTGTCCCTCCTCTGTATGTATATTATTTTTGGATATTTTGTGTATCTATCTAGAATCGTACGTGTACGTGTGTATGTTCTCTGTTCTTTTGCCCGGGGTAAACGATCACGATAGGCCTAAAGAAAGTCTCGAGTCGCAATCCACATCATGCTCTTCTGCCCTCTCTTTTTCTTTCACACTCTCGCATTCACTCGTTTATTCTCTAGCCCAGTTTCCCTAAACTCTCCTCCTGCTCCTCTCATTCCTCCTTAGTACGTTCGTCCGGCGAAGCGTCCAAGGTTTTCTAAAATCTCTCTGCGAATCTCCTTCCTCTCTCCTCCGTTAACTCGAAGAAAAGTAAATCGAAACGGACAACGTGATTCTTTCCCCATTGTGTTACCGTTATTTCTACGCGACTCGAGGGAGCTATATACCTGTTGTAATGCATTTTGCGTGTGTAAAAATCGGGGGAAAAAACCAAAAACAAATCTATCATGTACTGTGTGACTGTGTGTTCGAATGTTCGTTACGCTACAGCTCTTCCCAAATGGAGATCAAAATTCACTCTCTCGCTCTCTCCCTCTCCTCGCTAGGGGCTATTCTTTGATACTACCAGGGGGGGGGGGATCAACGTCAGCTCCGACAGTGTCTCAGCGTTCTCTTAAAAGCTACAGAGGTAAGTGTACAGACGCGAATACTGTTTTAAGGCTGACACAGGCTGCTTAGAGAAACATCGTCTGCGATTTTTTTGGTTACGGTCCGCGGTGTCCTCGTCTGGTTCCTCGTTAATCGCAAAACTACACCCAAGTGGGGGTAGAGTACTATATATATATATATACGTATCGACGCAGTTAGCGCAGCGGGTCGAGAAACGGAACCGACCAAAAAAGTTGCTCGACTAAATCGATCGACTGAGGCAACAAGCGATATACTTACAAAGAGACAGACGTAAAAGTCGAGGGACGAGGATACCCAGCGAACCGCGAAACGAAATTATTAGGGCGAGGGTGGGGGGAATCTTTCTCGACATTTCGAGCGATCACACTCGTTCGTTCGTACAATACAAAGTGTATACAGTTATTACTTCGCTTCGTGTAAATACAATAATGTACAATCCCCTCTCAGTGTAATTCCTCCGTTAATCATCGGTCATCGTGTTGAATCCATTCGTTCGTATATTTCTCTCGCTTCCTTTCGTTTTTATTTGGAGTTTAACCTTACTGTGACCTCGGTGCGTTCGCGCGCACGCGCCGAAGAAACGGAATCGATCTACGGCTCTACGATGATGAAAATCGAGAGACAAAACGACCAACAAAATTTTTTCTTCTCTATCTACACATTAAACCGCGGTCTAATCATCGCGGGGCGTTATATATTCCTGCTTCGTTGCTTCGGTTTACGGTCGTCGAATCCTCTTCCATGCTCTGCAATCGCCCCGATATTGCTATCTTTCTCTCCTACTTTCTCCACCCTTTACTTCGTGCTCTGTGTTCCACCTTCTCTTCTGCTCGTGCTTCCTCTACTCTTGCTGGTTTGGCCGTTCCACGCCTTTTTCACGCTTTCGAGGGAACCGGTACAGGTTCTCGATCGGTGTTCGTGTACCGACAGAGGTAAAGGATAATTCGTCCCGCGTGTTTTCGAGCGTGTACCCGACGGAAACGATACGAGATCATTATCGAAACTGTTCCAAACGTGGAAACAAACAAAAAACATCGTCTGATTTTACCTAACTTCGCTTATCCACGACTTCACCAGTGGTTCCATCATCTGATTTTACATAGGTTAGCTTATCCACAAATTCATCAGTGGTTCCATCGTTTAATTTTACACAGCTAAGCTTATCCACGACTTCACCAGTGGTTCCATCGATTGATTTTGCATAGGTTAGCTTATCCAAGAATTCACCAATGGTTCCATCAATTGATTTTGCATAGGTTAGCTTATTCACGAATTCACCAGTGGTTCCATCGTTTAATTTTACACAGTTAAGTTTATCCACGAATGTCACCAGAGCCAGCGTATCATTTCCGTCGTGCCACGCACATTCGACACCACGCTGCTCCTCGCTACGACCTACTTGGCTGCTGCTGCCATTCGAATTACGCGCGTCCGTCTACCTACGTATCGATCCTTACTACTGTACACGGATATCTTGGTCGTAACGCTAATCGTGATAACAAATTACACGGTATGTATTTACCTACAATAGGGGGGGGGGCCTCGCTGTGCGTATGTGTGTCGTTCACGCGTGCAACACCACACGCTGTGCGGTCTATACTATTTTCTCCGTCTATATACATATACATATATATATATATATACACACTATATATGTATATATATGTATATGTGTGTCTGTCCTCTCGTGTCTCTCTTTGATTCTCTGCGTGTATATATAATATATGGCCGGTGTATGTATGTATATATGCCGTCGCTTGGTATATTATACGTGTCTCCTTTCTCTCGTATGCGCCTTTACAGCCCCCCTCTGTGTCTCTTTTGACAATATACACATAGAAATGTTGTATGCAACACGCCTGTTGTGTTGTTTTCTTTCTGAGGGTGTGTGTGTGTGTGTGTGTGTGTGTGTGTGAGTGTGTGTATTGTTTGTGTGGTTCTAGGTTGTTGATCGTAAAATAAGTACAGCGTGTGTGTCGTGCTCTCGTACAACCGATATCGTGTCTTCTACTGCTGTGTACGTGGTATCTCGCCGATGGTTAATAATTAATCTTTAACCCTTAAACAGGCGCGCGCTGATACTCGAAGAACGTTTGTTTGTATGGTTTTTTTTTTTTCATTATTATTTTGTACATGATCTAACGGATTCTAGGTTTCTATATTACTCGTTTTTTTATTTTTCCGTTCAAAATTAGAAATGTTTCTCGACTCGATCGTGAATCACACCACGCTAATCGTGAGAGGAAGAACTTGGATAAACGTGCATATATCGAAGACGAAAATTCTTTACAACTTGCTCTCTCTCTTTTCCTCTGTTCGTTCGTTTACGAAACGCTATCCGTTCGCATGGAATTGACTTGACGCGTCGCTTGTGAATACATACAACGTCTTTGTAAATCGACTGCAGAGAACAAACTACTGAATCTGTTTATTTTTTTTTTTTTTTTTTTTTTTTTTTTTTTATTTTTACTTTAGAGACTCTGGATTTAGGTCTAGATAATTCGAAAGTAGTAAAACTTGCCCCCTTAAGGGTTAAAGACGATGGTGGAATACGTACGTTCGAGCCACGCAGACTTCCGCAGACGGCGGCCTCGAACTGTCGTTGATGGAACGAGAAGCGGCAACGTAACCGCGACACCGTACCGAAAAATCATCAAAATATACTGTATTTGTGTTGGATGGAGAATAAAATAACGTACAATACGAGTGAGCAGTCTACACGATCTGAAATTTACTTCTCACCGTTCCACGAAATCAAAAGACGCACAACTTAAAGTATACTGATAATAACAACAACGCATTCACGCTCGGGGCACGAACAACGATAAATCGTGAGACGAAATCGTTAACAGTCTACGTTCGAATCTTCCGCGACTGATCGAAAAGCAAACGAGAGAACGGAAGATCCGAGAAACGAAAATAAGGACGGAACAAAATAACACGTTTTGTCTTTCGTCTGCAACAATCTACCATTACTCGGGGTATTAAAAAAAAAAGAAAAGAAAAACAATACAACAGAATTGAACTGCGGAGAACGAATGATCGAGAGTATCCGATACGTGTCTATATGACTATTGTCGATATTGATTTTACTGTTGACACTGGTGGTTTTATTGTAGCTGTTGTTTTTGTTGTTGTTGGATGTAAGTAGTAGTTGTGGTGGTGGTGATGATGATAGTGGTGATGATATTATTGGTGCTGTTGGTGGCCGACGGGGTACGGGTGGTCGAGAGTAGCCTTACTTGAGTAGCTGATGGGCTCGCTCGTTGGCCACCTTTATCCTCGTCTCGTTCGAATCGCCCTGCGTGCCAAAAAAAGAAACAAACGAAAGATCGTAACCCAACTCAGCCCTGTGTATCAGGATGATGTTATTGTCGGTCTGGTTACTTCGATTAATCTCCATCTCGGTTCTTGGGTCGTCGTCGTCTCTCGCTCTCTATCTCTTTCTCTCCTTCACACACACACATACACATACCCTCGCGAGCAAACTGAGCTTCCGTTAGGGGAAAAAGTGGCGTAAGGGAAGGGCCTACCACCACTTGGTAAATTGATTTCAGATACTGAAATAAATGTTAAATCAGATGTTAATTTAGCATAAATTTCATTAATTCCCAATACCAAGTAGCAGGAGCATGGTAGAAGAGCCCTTCCACTAGGGGAAAATGTGACGTAGTGGAAGGACTTCCTACCATTTAGTTTTGGGAGCTACTGAAATTTATGCCAAATTAATATTCGGTTTAACATTAATTTCAGTACTTGAAATAAATTTAGTGAATGGTAGGAGACTTATCTTCTACGACGCCATTTTTTCCTCTAGTGGAAGCCGAGTTTGCTCGCGAGGGTACACACACACTTTCTCTCTCTCTCTCTCTCTCTCTCTCTCTCTCTCTCTCTCTCTATCGTTCGTCTTCAGAGGCCAGAGAGAATATCGGAGGACACGACAGAGTATTTTGTTCACCCACCATAGGCAGCAACGACAACACAACGATGACGACGACGACAATCCTGTGGGGTTTCATCCGACAAATAAGATTCCAAAGAGTTAGTTGTGATATCGTACATATAGGTAGAACGCTGCCGTTCGAAAGTCTGAGATCGTTCCTCTTTAGTGTTCAACCAATCGATGGTTGTTACGGTATCCTCGCGAGCAAATTCTGCTTCCGCTAGGGGAAAAAGTGGCGTAAAAGTGAGGGCTTCCTACCATTTAATTTTGAGAGTTACTGAAATTAATGCCGAATTAACATTCGGTTTAACATTTATTTCAGTACTTGAAATAAATTTACCAAGTGGTAGCAGACTTTTCTTCTACGCCACTTTTTCCCCTAGCGGATATTTCGAAGATTTCGGAGTATATAAGAACCTACCATCTCTCCTCATTGGAGGGAAGAACCAAGAATAAGTCAGATCAGAAAAAAATTCGTTTAAAAATGCATTTAGAAAAAAACAATGCAGAAAGGTCCAAAATAGATTAACCCCATCAAAACCGTTCGTCATTCGAGGATTAAAGGACCCAAAAACTGAATCCATGTTGCACACACCTCGGTTGTCTTAACCCTTTCCGGTCGTATTTATCCCAAACACGTGTAATTTGATGGCCGAGACCAGACCACTATAGACAGAAAACTATAGACCACAGGCGATCCCAAAGTTTCGACAGGCAGCACATCGCGCGTGGTCGGTAAAAGTATCCGTAGAAATCTGCCGTACCGACCGAACGACGGACAAACAAGATGATGTGTGGTGTGTTACAAGGGCGGGGCGGGGGGTAAGTACAAAACTAAACGGCCTGTAGGAGGATGGTTAAGTACGCGGGGCCGGGTCACGTATAAAGAGACATACACGCGTGTATACACAAAAACAAGCGCCCGTTTTGCCAAAACTCTCAGCGGAACGAACTCGATGATATTTCGTTGTGGCGGAAACACAGGTGAATCGAGTTCGAGAGACCATAAACAACGAGTTTCGTCGGTTCAACGGGGATGACGACGACGGTGTGTGGTGTCCGACCGACGACGAGAAGGCAGAAGAAAAGGGGTGTGGTCGTGGTAGTGGTGGTGGTGGTAGTGGTTGGTGGTGGTTGGTGGGCGTGTGTGAGCATATTTAACATATTAATTATCATTGGAGTATATAATATATATATATATATATATATATGTATATACATACGCGTGTATGCATATACATATAGAAAATTTTTGGGTGCTGTTATATGGCTCGAAGGAGACGGGTTTTACACGCGGGCAGAGAGACGCATTTTACTTGAGCAGGGCGTGCGCACGCTGATTCGCCACGGCTATCCTTGTTTCGTTCGACTCGCCCTGCGGATTGACCATAGTTCGGATTTGATCACAAGGTGCGGACATAAAGAGAGAGAAACAGATATATGTATGTATATATATATATATAGAGAAAAAATTCTTTGAATCGAACGCAAAAAGGCAACAAGTGTTTTGAATAACAGAGAAAATAAACGAGAACGGAAGAAAAGTAGAAGAAAGACAGTGACAAAAAGGGGGCGGGGCGGGCGGCGAATGTGGCGAACAAAGCGTGACCGCGAAAAGAGTATGGTGCAATAGTAAATTTTCTTTTCTTTTTTTTTCGTGATTCTTGCTTCGTCTTTTTCTCTTTTCATTCTTGTCGTCCCGATTGGTTTCGTTTGATTTTCATTTTCTTTTTTTTTGCGGTATGTGTGTGTATGTGCGCACGGCCGAACATAGATCAGACAGCCCGTGATTGGTGGGGGTTAGGGGGGTGGGGCATACGAAGAGAATGACGGTTTGTGCGATGACGCGGAGGGAGTAAAAAAAGGGCGCTATTCGTGCGGTGCACGTGCGTACGCATGCCAAAATGTGAAACGAAACGATCGTCTGTGATCGTGCATCCGTCGATCTTTTCTCGATACGAACTGTTTGAACCGGTTGAAAGCTTCGAACAGTGTTCAAACTGTTTGATCGTGCGTTTGAAACGTTCAAGATGACCACACACTGGTCGAACATCTTGTGTTCGAAGCGACCAAACACTGTTCAAACATGTGTGTTTGAATCGTTTTAACTGTTTGAAACGTTCAAGATGACCAAACACTGTTCAAACATGTGTGTTTGAAACATTTGAACTATTTGGACCGGCCGAATACTGTAAGAACTGTTTGAACATCTTGCATTTGACCCAATAAAACCCAGTTCGAACTGTCTGAACATTTTCTGTTTGAATATGTCCAAACACGTTTGGACTGTGTGTTCACAAACGTATCACTATATATCCATAACGTTCATCGCTTAGCTTCTCGCCTTCCCGACGATCGTTTCGTTCACGTGAAATAAAACTTCCGTGCCAATAGAAAAGAATGTGTACACTTAGAGTAGAGAGGAACGTTCTATCGAATGCGTTCCTCACAGGGGAGAAAGGTGATAATCCATGTAGACCGCGTGGAACCGTTGAGCTCCGACTTCGATGAGAGCTCGCGGACTACTCTCGTTAGAGGGAATTCGTAACAGTTTCGTCGAATGGGTCGCGAGTCAAGGATCATATTCTCAGGAAGAAGGGTGGGTAGAACGGTGGATGGTATGAAACGGAACGCGTATTCGTACGATGCGTTGCCTATCGTCGTCAGAGGAACAACAAAAACCAGAGATTAATCGTTTCACATCTACGATGAAAAAATGAGCTTCGCCGTTACTCTTCGGTTTCGTGTATCACGCGCGACAGGCAGCTTTTCGATTCATCACTTTTATCGATTCACCCTTAACTGGTCAGCTGGAGTTTCTGCGGACGCAATTGAAATTTTTAGAATATGTCATTCTTATACAATAATTAGTTATACTGCCTCTCCGAGCTATAGTGACTTTAGGTGTAACCCTTTTAGTGGGTGTGATATGTGATTTACATTTTCAAAAAAATTGACCACCTCTGGACGCTCGACTTGCTAATCGAATCCCTACTGTTTTTACGAAGTCACTATAGCTCGGGGAGACATTATACAGGGATGCCTGTTTAGTTCGATATTCTCTGACACAAAAGTGTAAAGCAACCAGTTATGTACTATGTGATAATATTTCTGTATACAGCAAAAATTGTGCAAACAGCAATAAGATTTACACCTGACCAGTTAAAGGTTAGACTAGAGCTGATTCGCGTCGGTACTCGCGATTACCACGACGACCCACACACGCACGGGTCTATTATCCGGAAGGTCACGAGAGGGAACATCGGGGGGGGGAACACTCAGGCTGTAGGATAATCGAGGAGGGGGGGTCGTGTTAGAAAGCGAAAGCGACGACGAACGGTGTGTTTTGTGCATCGCTTTGAGCGCGTGCATATCGTGGTGTGATTAAAATCCACGCATGCTCCGTGGAGAGAAAAATACATAGCGGAGCTAATCGTACAGAATTCACGATCGTCGTTTTCATCGATCCTTTCCCGTTCCGGAGCTTACTGCCTCTTGTCGTGGTGTCGACAGCGTAACCCGCCAAGCATATATCGTGAAAATATCGAGCATACAGGATGTCCCACGATAAGTGCCGTTTGATATAACCACTGAACGATAGGCGATAGGACAAAAATGTAAGGAGACTTTTATCATCATTTCTTGTGTAGAATATCACCGTGTAAAAAGATTTTTTACCTTCAATTTTTCTGGGGCATACTAAAATCATCCCGTATATATTCTTTTTTTAAATGGAATGATATATTTTTGTCAAGGTCATTTCAAAGACATACACGCTAAACTTCTGTACTTCCATAATACCAAAACAAAACTATAGCATTCCATTTACAAAACACAAAATGACCTTAGTATGACCTTGAAAAATTGGAAATAATTTTTTCCCACGTTGATATTCTATACAAACATTGTTGATGCAAATTCTACTTACATTTTCGACCTATCATCTACCGTTCAGTGGGTATATTAAATGGCACTTATCCTGGGACACCCTGTATATGTCGAGCAAGCTCCGAAATTTCCGTACGCGATTTCTTTTTTTTTTTCTTTTCGCGCCGATCGCCGACACGTCGCCGTAGATCGACAGACACGCGGCGACGGTGGCTGCGAATCGAATTGCTCACCTTGCGATTGATCCTGTCGATCTGCCGGTTTTGATTCTCCAGCTCGCTGCCCATATCGATCGCCATGTTTCTCAGATTACCGATCATCGTGTTCACCTGGCCCATGTTATCCTCCATCTCCGTTTCACGGGCGTCGTTCGTGATCTTGCCGATATAACCACCTTGGGGACCGAGCCCGTTGCGTTCGTCCATCACGCGCTGTGGTTGATTGTTCACCACTTTTCCGTCGTCGTTGCCCTTCCATGTGCCTTCGTCCTCCTTGAAGCTGGCGCTTCTGTAAACCGAAATCCGATTAGCGCTTGCAACCACCACACGAGTTAACAGCGCACACACATACAACCGTCGAGTGTTCGAAGTTAGGCGTGTAGTCGTAAGGAGGGGCTAATGGTAAAGTTAGTCGAGTGTTTAACAGCGTCGACCCTTTGCGGATCCTATCACGATAATACGGTGTAATTCCATTGGCTAGTTTGTTGTTAGGCTTTACCGAAGTCGAATAATTATATATAGATAATTGTACGAGAAAGTACAGTAGTTCCCGGTTAATAAAAACATTTTTCCCCGTTTATTAAACGCGTTTTTCCTGGCTTAAAAGGGTGTTCCAGTTTAGATCTTTCGAAAAAAATGCTTTCCAAAGTATGTCCATAGAAGGATTTGTTTACTACACACAGTAAAACAGCTGTTCGAACTTTCGTCTCTATTTTAATCAACCCCAATGGTTCTCATCTTCGTCTCCGACACGCTCAAAAAGATACTGAACTGAAGAGAGCGTAACACAGCTGGAAGTTCCTAGCATACCACTTTCCCTCGATAACTGCGCGTCACGGACTCGAGGCTTACGCCAATCAACCGGGCACTACTGTAGCAACGATCAACCTGAAAGATCTCTAATATATCGAGATCTTGACGAGTCTGCCCATCCGCAAAGAGTCAAAGCTCCCGTGAATGTTTCCCCGCGAGTTTCAAATCGATGTGTCGTTCGCAACGAGAAACGTTGCTCAGGGAGTATCGCGGTTTTATCAGTGCTTCGCGGGATTTCAAGCAAAGTGAATTCGGTCGGCTGGCAGATTGAGAGATAGCTGTAAAACAAAAGGCTCCGGTTCGTGTAGTCAACGGGTGAAAAGGTTAAAGGGATACGGGACAGCCCTACTTGTTGCATGGAAGAACGCAGAGACCGCAGCACTTTTCCATTCCGGTGAGATTCTTCTCGGCCTCGCGCATGTCGGCGTTGATCTGGTCCATACCCTCCTCGATTCTGTCCAGTTGCTCTGTTTCATCGTACGAGAACAGATCGTTAATATCGTTTCTCGATAATTCGTTAATTTCGTTTGAGAGGTTCGAAAGGGAACGACAGACAGCACCGCGTACAGGATAAATAAATCACCGAGAAATATGTATGTGTTGCGCTCTACACCCACGCGTGGTGCTCAACTAAAGGCTTGTCGAAATTGACGGTCGAGGGAACGAAACTGAAAAACTTTGTCTGATTCCCTTTCGAAGGTAGTATTTTCCTTTTTTTTTATAAAAAAAAACCTGGATTGAATCGTCGTTTGTGATCGTTAAAAAAACTCTAGTAGGATTGTGGAGATCTATGATAGATTTGTAGAAATCATTTTTGAAGATTGTTATTAGGTGTACCAATAAGTAATCCACTATTTCCTTTTAATAAAACGGTGGTAACGTTACATACAAACACAGTTTATATTTCAAATACCTCTTTCTACCATCAAAATGGCGACGAGCCAATTGAAGAATGCCTGAAATAGTATAGATTCCCGATTTATTTGGAAACAAGTATTGAAATTGACAAAATACTGTGGAATAATTATTCGTACACCTGATATATTATTGTAAACGATATTGCACTCGGAAGAATATTCCACGAAGAGCCTGGTTCCTCAATCCCAAACGACGATCAGCAATCTTTGACCTTTAAGAGACATCGTCGAGAGTATCGCCAAATGTCTTATTCGTTTTTGATGTAGGATACAAAGAAATGTTATCTAATCAATCCTTGAACAAGAAGAAAAAAAAAGTAATTTTTCTCGTTAGAGTCTGACAGAGCCCAGAAGGTAACTGACTTTAACACAAGAAATTGATACAATATATCGAGGCGATGTCTCTCGACGAACAATCCCTCGTGAATTAAAAAGTAAAAAAAAAAACGTAAAACGAGTGCAACGTGAGTGCATCAGCTAAGCAAAGAGTCTCCCTACTAAGGGTTTCCTAAAATCCTTACGGTAGGGAGGGGGGTGAGTAGCTCTGTAATGTACTTGGGGGGGCGAGGGGGTGTAACGGTGGGTAATTGTCTAAGGGTGGCTGGGTTACGTATCGAAACCAAGTATATATATAAGGGTATCCCAAAATAGGTGTAAGTCCTTGGAGGCGATAATTCCTGAGGTGATTTGAAACAACTTTTTCCTTGGCGAAAAAGTTCTCCGAGGCTTTGTTAACGAGATATTAACGAAAAACTCCGACCAATCAGAGCTCAGCTGGCAGACTCGCGCTCCGATTGGTCGGGGTTTTTCGTTAATATCTCGTGAACAAAGCCTCGGAGAACTTTTTCGCTAAGGAAAAAGTTGTTTCAAATCACCTCAGGAATCACCCCCTTCAAAGATTTACAACTATTTTGAGTCACCTTGTATATGACGAGTAAGAGTCTATATAACGCGATTGATTGCAAAACACATGTGCCGATAATACAAGTGAGTGTGAAGTTGCAAATAGCTGGGTTTATAATTGACTTACACACCCGTGGCGGAAGTAAACGAAGAAAGAGAGAGATAGATAGAGAGGCGTATATAGAACACGTGGCGCGCGTGTCGGTGCGACCCGATACAAATCTGTATTTACCTACACACACGTTTCTCCTAGCCTTTCTGTGAATTTCTTTTCTTTCGTGTCTGTTTTTTCTGTTGTCTAACGCTGTTTACGTTGTTTCTGTTTTCCGTTCTTTTTTTTTTTTTGCTATTTGGTTTGTTTGTTTCCACTCTCTGTTTTTGTTCGTTCGCCTTCGTGAGATAGAGAGAGATCACGTTCACGGAAGGACACGGAGTAAAGAGAGTGTACAGGAGAAAGCTGTCGGAGAGAACGATAGGACGCAGAGAGAAAGAGAGAGAGAGAGAGAGAGAGAGAGAGAGAGAGAGAGAGAGAGAAAGATATACAGCAAGAGTTGGGAGTGGAGGTTCAGGCAAGAGAGATAGATAGAGATAGGCAGATAAAGAAGATAGTTAGAAAAAGAAGTGGAGAAGGTGCTGGAACGAGAGAAGAAGAGCAGAGCAGAAAGAGAACACGATGATCGCAAAATCATAAGGGCAGAGGAGTTGTTATATCAAAATTACGAATGAAAACATCGAACGGTTAAATAGGTTACAACGGAAACAGGGGATGGTGGGGGTGGGTTAAGGTTCGAGAGTGGAACGTAAGAGTAAGGGGTTAAACGAAATTAATAATCGATGATCTGGGCACGGTGAGGTGTTGGTGAATAGATGTCTGGAAACGAATCACGTGGTCGTTTTGGTGCTTTTTTTTCTTTTTTTTTTTGGTTCAGTATTTGGCCGAGTACTCGATTGGAAACTACGCCCGATGGAGAAAAGGCGGGGGTAGTTGTTGCACAGTGTGTCTGGACGATTTTACACGCAATTTTAGTGTCGTGTGCGAGCATATATCTAAACAACACACGCGTGTAGATATCGTATATGGGGTGGGGGGTGGGATCGTATTCGAATACACGATCGTTTTGCTTTTACTGTGTCGGGCCCGAGACCAGATACATACAGTGGGTAGAAAAAAGTATTCGTACACCCTTTAAAACAGAACAACTCTTTCAAAACTGCACCAAGTGACTTGAGTTTTTTTGTGAGCTTAGAAGGGTTAGTGTATTAAATGATGTGTTAACAAAAAGTTGCAATTCGTCGGAATCGCGAAGAAAATAGTAAAGGTCGCCTTTTGCGACTTTGTTATCTGAGATTGTAATAAGAATTTGAATTTTTATGTTAGTTATATGCATGCTGAAAATTTCGTCGAAATTGTTTAACATTGTTATGAGATACGAACGGTTAAAAATGGTGAAAATTGCAGTTTTTCGCGACTTTTGACAAACTGTAGTATATCTGTAGATTCTTGTATCTTTCTGTATTAATCGATTTCAATAAAAATTGCATGCGTGTATATAGCTGGCATAAATCTTCGAAATGTATTTATTTAGTATCAGACAAAAAAGTTGTAAAAAACGACATTTACTATTTTCTTCGACATTCTGAAAAAAAGGAAATTTTTCAAAATTTTTTTAACACATCATTTAGTAAACTAATCCTTCTAACTTCATAAAGAAACTCAAGTCACTTGGTCCAATTTTTAAAGAGGTATTCTGTTGTAAAGTGTGCACGAATACTTTTTTTACACACTGTACATATTATGTATATACACAGAGAAAGATATACAGGATGTTTTCGAAATGGTGGTACAACCCGAAAGGAGGCGATCCTACATGCAAAAGTTAGTCGAAAATTTGGAATAACATTTTTTCGTACGATGCTTTGTTTTCGAGGAAAAATCGAATTTGTAAATCTGTGGTGCAACTGAATAGGACTTAGCTAATTCGTCTGTTAATTACATTCTGTTTCTACTTATTGTCACTACGAATATACAGGGTGGCCTAAAAATTCACATTAATTATTTTCTAAATAAATATACTTCTTAGAAATTATTTTTAATTAGTTTTGCAGATTACTCCCTTCAAATGGCCACCATTTTGTTCTTAACAGTAGCAGGGGTACTTTCTAAAAAGTTATTATACTTTAAAATGGTCTACCGACTTTTGGACCACCCTGTACATGCATTAGATGAATTCTGAAATTTGATTATCCTAGAAACGAAGCATCCTACGAAAAAATGTTATTCTATATTCACCACTGATGTTTTCACGTAGAATCCACATACTTTCTACTTGTACCACAATTTCAGAAACACCCTGTACATACATATATGGATATGTATATATATTTCTTTGTAAAAAAAAAAAAAAAAAATGGAAACCGTTTCGTGGACGTCTGGATAAGTTTAATATGTTTGTTATGTCTAGATTTGAAATGGCTTACCGCCTTGCTCGTCCAGCATTACGAGGGTTTTCATCCCGACCTCGTGGCTCTAAACAGGCAACCGACCAATCAGCGACTGTGATTAACACACGTGACCAACAGGAAGCACACACCGTCGACACGCCACCCTCGCTTCGCTCCGCGGAACAATTAATTTTTCAACCCCTGTTTCTCACGTTGCGTGTCCACCGATCATCCCCTAGCCCAATGACCACGTGGCCATTAAAATCATCGTTTCAAATTAATTCGTTAAGGAAATGATTAAGTTCACTTTTGAAAAATTATCGTAGAAGTAACAGGCAAAATAAGAAGTTGCGTTGAAAACGAAGTTTAATCTCGAGGCGATTATAATTGAAGCAAAGGTTCTCCACTTTTTTTTTTCCATGAGATTCGGATACAGTGTTGCTTCCTTTTTCTGTTCTTTTCCAATTTTTAAGGTCACATTTTCACTTGGAATACCGATCATGGAGAACATGTCCGTCGGAGGAGCGAGAGGGCGCATACGACGACGATAGTCATCCTGACACATTAATTCTATGCAGATTCAGGCACTGCTGGAGGACCCAGGATATCTTTAACACTTGCCAGAGTTCGGGTGCAGACACACCGAAGGGACCATGGAAATGTTGGATTTACCAACCGAGAAGCAAGAAAAAACAAAAAAAAAACAGCTCGTGAATTCTCCGATCGTGAGCATCGAGGATCGTCGAACTCGTCCGACGTGAAACAGAGATAGATAGAGAAAGATGGGAACCTCCTGTTTCGCTTGAAACTTTACGATTTTCGTCCCAAAGCGAAAGGTGAACGAACCTGGAACTGGAACCGCGCACGGTTACCGATCGACGAAGCGAAGAAGACGGCGAGATGACGATCTCGATCTCAAAATACGATCCGAATGGTGTTGGTAAATCCAACGTTTCGGGAGCAGAAGAACATATTCAGGGGAGTTAAAGGGGTTCCAGGAGGTCGGCAGAGAGAAGGGGGGTCTCGGTTGATTGCACGTCGATCTGTGAAATTTTCAACATGAAAAAAAAAAAACAGATTAGAAACAATTACAAGATAGCACCTCGATGTGGCGGGAACATGATCACAGGTTCCAATGTATATATATATATATATATTATATAT